GTTATTTCACTTAACGTTTTTATCAGTCACACAAATAGAACTGGCTAAAGGGGCCAGGCTGGTCATGTTACTGAGAGAAGCCACTTGGTGGTAAGTGCTTGGACAGGCAGTGTGTGCGTGCAGGTGCCCGTGACGAGGACACAGCTACTAGGTGCCTGCCAGGCAGGCAACACACCCCATTGTTGCCCAGTCTTCCTATTTTTCAAGGAAAGGTATGTTGATTTTTATGTTAAATCTTACTCTATTTCAACATCAGCTCAGTTTTTCAAAAACATGGTTCCAAAAACCATGTGGGTCAAACAAAACCTGTGGGGACCAGATTTGCCCGTGGCCTACAGTGGATCTCCTGTGATCTACAGACTTTGAACTCATTTCCTTGTTGCACTTTGAATGTGTAGAATATGGCTTCTAGCTGGTGGCACCTTCTGAGATCATCGGATAACTATGGTCTGGAGGCTATTTTTGACAAAACTAGGTGGTTTCGATAAGGGGCACCGTTAAGATTGGAAAGGTGGGTGCTAGAGTCTTAAAGACGTTAAAGGGCACCTTCAGCAACTTTCACTGCTTTTTCAATTTGTATTTGCAGATTTGGATTCTTTGTTTTAAACTGTTATGTTGACTCTTCAGATTATAAGCTTCCTGAGGGCATGAAACTCTGACTCGGTGCCTCTTTCTGACTGAAATTCCCTTTCTCCCCTTTGTCCCTATCTGCAGAGCTGAATTCTACCCACCAAGGTCCAGTGAATGTCACTTCCTCCTGCAGGGCTCTGCCGAGCCTCCCCCTCTGCCTTCCCTCACTCCTATTCCCAAGCCACTCTCCCCGGAACTCCCACGACCTTCTCCAGCCTGCCTGATCCCGCACAGTCATTGGGTATCTTTGTTTTACAGTATTTCATGAACACATCTTATTTCGCCTGCTACACTACAAGCCTTTGGGAGCAGAATTTTCATTTCCCCTGTGGCACAGGGTTTTAGTATCAGCTGTCAGGCCTGGTTCTGGCTGGTTGATAAAAACTACCTGAAGAGCCTTTGAGACAAGGTGGGAAGGAGACTTTTCAATATTTACTTGTTGCGTCTTTTGAATTTAGTATCCTATGAGTATATTCCTTATTCACTAAATAAGTATAAGTACAAAAATACATATGGAGGGGCTGGCCCGGTGGTGTAGTGGTTAAGTTTGCATACTCCGCTTCGGCGACCTGGGGTTCACAGGTTCTGATCCCGGGCTCGGACCTACGCACTGTTCATCAAGCCATGCTGTGGCGGCATCCCATATATAAAGTAGAGGAAGACTGGCACAGATGTTACCTCAGTGACACTCTTCCTCAAGCAAAAAGAGGAGGATTGGCAACAGATGTTAGCTCAGGGCAGTCTTCCTCACCAAAAACAACATGGATTCCAGGGTCTCGCCCCAGCTCTTCTGAACCAGAATCTCTGTGGGAGCAGGGGAGGGGGAATCTGTAAATCTGTACTGTTTTAAAGCTTCCCGGGTGATTTTGTTGCATAGGCAGGTTTGGGAACTACTGTCCCAAAGCATATAGTAGGTATTCAGTGAGCATCTGTTCAGAGGACGAGTGGACACTTGTCCTCCTATAACATTTAGCCTGATGCCTTGTCCTTAGCAGTTCTTCAGTAAATATTGGTCGAGGGAATTAAAATAAATTGTGAGCTCAGATACCATCCCCCCATCCCACTTTCTTAGCTGGGGTGGGGCCATCTACTCCCCCAAGGCTCTCACTCTGTCTGGGTGGATAGGCTGCTTCCCACCTGGACCACTGGGATGGCCTAACTAGCTGCTCTCCTACAGCCAGCTTCCCTCCCTCTGATCCTTTCAGCACACTGCAGCCCGAGTGATTTTTTTTTCAGTTCAAATCAGATTCTGCCTTTCAGTGGTTCCCTCTTACCTGCAGTATAAAATTTACTGTGGGGAGTCGTTTAGAGCCTTTATGATCTGGTCTGGCCCTTCTTTTCCTAGCCTGTCTCATTCAACAGTTAGGTGCCAAGGCCTGCCGTGTGCCAGCACTGCTGAGGACACGGGACAGGGCAGTGCACGCCCTCTCCTGCCACCAGTCCCTGAGTACATGATACCCTCTTATCACTTTTTGTTTGTTTTGCCTGTGGTGTTCCTTCTGCTTAGAATGCCCTTCCCACACCCCTGTTTTATTCATTGATGCCAAGCTTTCCAGGGCCCCTGTGAACAATAAGTTGTCTCGTCATCTTCTATCACTTTGTGCATGCCTTTATATAAGGCCTACCATCATGGATTCCAATTTTTAGTTGACCGTTCTCTTTATTCCCCTAGACTCTGAGCTCCTCAAGGGAAGTGATGGCTTACTCTCCTCATTATCTCCAGCTCCAAGCACTGTCTGACCCTGTGAGGCATTAACATATTTGCTGGATAAAATTGATACAAGAATGAAGTTTTTTTGTGTGTGCCAAAAAGGCAAATCAAGGTGCTAGTTAGTAACTATGATTTTAAAAGGATTTCTGCCACACAGTTGTAGATATTCCCCTGAAAGATGTCATACTTGGATTTTGCAAAGTTATAAGGATGTTTTAATGACATAAAATGATAGTTCCTATTATATATGTTTTTCTAACTGTAAGTATGACTGAGATATTATTAAATGTTAACAGTTGGCCTTTTACTAGCCATCCTAACTGAATAATCTAAGAGAAGAATCAGAGAATCCCACAGAAGTGAGTGGGGTTTATAATCTGACACCCTAGAGTATTTATTAGCTTGATGTGAAGTACTGTATTCCCCCAGCTGGAGGTGGAGCCCAGTGGGAGGTTCAGTGTGCTGTGAATTGGAGTGTTTTGGAAGAAGCAGTAGTTTTGAGATGGAAGGACAACATAGATGACATCAGCATAGAACTAAGCCAAGATGGAAGCCAACTTTTTAAATCATATGGCATGGGTTTTGCCAGATCTGAGACTATCCAGTCAGGCCAGATAAAGAGTTGAAGTACTGTATGGGCTTCAGTGAAGACAAACAGGGTAAGAATAAATGAGTCAGGAGAGAAAGTGGATTCTGCAGGGGCTCAGAACAGAGAGACCTCAAGAAAGGCAAAGGAAACATGAGCAAAGTATGTTATTGATCTATAACCAGTGAAGGATGGAGTCCTGCAATGTGTTCAGGGGTGACCTTTTCTCCCTTCAGGGGCACAGAGGAAGCCATCAAGATCCCATTTCATTTAATTCCATTTTATTTATAGATTAATCCCCCACACTTCCAGAAAAGATTCATGGAAGATTATAATTAAAGGCAGGGTAAACAAGAGTAGAAGAACTAATGTTAAATAAAGAAAGTGAGACAATAGTCACACCAGAAACCCAGGCTAACAATGGCTATAACAGTTAATGGTAAAAGTGAGTTCTAAGCTTCCTTGTCTCAAGAATTAAAAGAGAAAAATGGTGAGTATATTGTTCTCATTATCTGATTTGAAGAATTTATCAGTAGAAATGCACTTTTTCCAATGGCCAAATGAAATAAAAGAATTTAGCAAATGGATCCTTGTATAAAGGACACTAAATAACATAACAGGCACAACTTATAAAAGCTCTGCAAAAAGTAAAAAGGGATTCTTTCTGTGGGCATCTGGTCTTTCCAAATGAATAAATGCCGTGAGCTACACGTTATCCTCTAGTGCTAGGAGGCATTACCTCTGCGAGTTAAAGATCATCAAGCTATATGGCTCTCTGGATGTCATCTGATAAGGGATAGAGACTGGATGAATAGCTAACCAGCTAGCTATATACTAGCTAGCTGTATAGCTAGCTAGTAGGATATACTAAGCAGTATATCCTTCAGACTAGAGGGGTTTTTAAATTTTAACTGAAGGGATGATCTATTAGTGTATAGTGAAATTAGTTTAGTGAGTTGCTGCTAGCATTTTTTAAATGAAAGATAATGGAACAGAACAGAATGCATCACACGCACATCGTGAGGTTAAGTTTTAACTTCACTTCTGTCTTGGGTCACTGTGTACCATGTATTTCTTACTCTGGGGAAGTGCGGAAGCTGCTGCTTTTGACTATCACTCACTAGAATATTGGTTGGTAGGCTCGGGCCATCCCAGGCTCATGGTATAGAACATATATAGAGAATAACAAGAACGAGGCTCCGGGAAGAACAGAGATAAGATCCTCGGACCAGAACAAGGGTCACTGTGCCTTTAAATCTTGGTAATTCAGGAACCTACGACTAGACTCGGTATTGTAAACTCAGAAACACACTTTCGTGGTGTCGTGTTTTGTTTCCTTTTGGTTTGCCTTCGGTACCTCACAGAGTTCTTTCGAAAACCTCAGTCTACTTTGGCTGTAATGAAGGAGAAATCGGAGAAGGAATGGGATGAGTCCGCCCAAGGGCCGGTAGAGCAGAGGCGGGGTGCCCCTGGTGGTCACACTCAGTCACGCAGGCTGAGACTTGGAGAGCTGCTCCAGAGCCACGAATGAGGACTGGCTCTTCCAGATCTTTCTTCTCTGAGCAGGCAATGCCTTTACATACAGGTACTGCTTCCTGAGGGAAAACTGTTTTAAAATCATTTTCCTGCTTCGTGAATTTGTTTGGGTCAGATCATCAGGGCTATCTTTGAAAATAAATCAGAGGCTTGTGGCAGGACCATGGCTTTGCCCAGCTCCAGGGTTCAGTACAGCAGCCTTGAGTGATGATGAGACCCTTAACACTGGAGGGGAAGAAACCTCCGCCTCCCAAATTTGGACATGTATATATGGCTACAACTTTGAAGGAAGAAGGAGAAAGAGTTCTGGGAGGATTTCCAACCATAACAACTGTTAGCAATGGTATGAGAAACAGGCTGAGGCGAGATAAAGATTTAGCTTCTAATGTTGACTCCAAGTCTTGGAAGCAAAACAGAATGAGATAAAAACCTGTATTTTCATACAAAACAAAAGTTTTTCAAAGAGGTTGAAATATTCTAGAAATAAAGAAGCTACTTGTGGAAGGGTCTCTGACCAGTTCTCTCCTCTTGTTTCAGATGACAGTCATGTCCCTTTCCAGGGACCTCAAGGACGACTTTCACAGTGACACAGTGCTCTCCATCTTAAATGAGCAGCGCATTCGAGGCATTTTATGTGATGTCACGATCATTGTGGAAGACACCAAATTTAAAGCCCACAGCAATGTCCTGGCTGCTTCGAGCCTTTATTTCAAAAATATCTTTTGGAGCCATACAATCTGTATTTCCAGCCATGTCCTGGAGCTGGATGATCTCAAAGCTGAAGTGTTTACAGAAATCCTTAATTATATCTACAGCTCCACAGTTGTCGTCAAGAGGCAGGAGACAGTCACTGACCTTGCGGCCGCAGGGAAAAAGCTGGGAATATCCTTCTTGGAAGATCTTACCGATCGCAGCTTTTCCAATTCCCCGGGTCCCTATGTATTCTGCATTACTGAGAAGGGAGTGGTTAAAGAAGAAAAAAATGAAAAAAGGCATGAAGAACCGGCCATCACTAATGGGCCAAGGATCACAAATGCATTTTCCATCATTGAGACAGAAAATAGTAATAACATGTTTTCTCCGCTGGACTTGAGGGCAAGTTTCAAGAAGGTCTCTGACTCCATGAGAACCGCTGGTCTCTGCCTGGAGAGGACTGATGTCTGCCACGAGGCGGAGCCCGTCCGGACCCTGGCCGAGCACTCGTATGCCGTTTCTTCCGTGGCTGAGGCTTACAGGAGTCAGCCTGTACGTGAACGTGATAGCACTTCACCTGGTAAAGCAGGTAAAGAAAATGGCGAAGCTCTTACAGCAAAGCCAAAAACATGCCGAAAGCCAAAGACACTCTCCCTACCCCAGGATTCTGATTCAGCTGCAGAAAGTATACCACCTCCTCCAGTAACCAACGCAGAGGTTAATCAAGAAAGAAGTCCACAGCCAGCTGCAGTTCTTTCTCATTCAAAGTCTCCCAACAATGAAGGAGATGTCCGTTTTTCCAGGGAAGATGAAAATAAATCCTCTGACGTTCCCGGGCCGCCGGCAGCAGAGGTTCCGCCTCTCGTTTACAATTGTAGCTGTTGTTCCAAATCCTTTGACAGCAGCACTCTGCTCAGTGCCCACATGCAGCTGCACAAGCCAACCCAGGAGCCTTTGGTGTGCAAGCACTGCAACAAGCAGTTCAGCTCCCTGAGCAGATTGGACCGGCACGAGCAGATCTGTATGCGGCCCAGCCACATGCCCGTTCCGGGAGGAAATCAGCGCTTTTTAGAAAACTATCCTACCATTGGACAAAATGGAAGTTCATTCACGGGTCCAGAACCTTTATTATCTGATAATAGGATTGGTGACTTTTCCAGTACCGGAAGTACCTTGCCAGAAACAGACCACATGGTTAAATTTGTTAATGGGCAGATGCTCTACAGTTGTGTTGTATGCAAACGTAGTTACGTGACTTTGTCCAGCCTCCGCAGACATGCAAATGTTCACTCATGGAGAAGAACATATCCTTGCCATTACTGCAACAAAGTTTTTGCATTGGCTGAGTACAGGACAAGACATGAAATTTGGCACACAGGAGAAAGGCGGTATCAGTGCATTTTCTGCCTTGAAACTTTCATGACCTACTATATACTCAAAAACCATCAGAAGTCTTTCCATGCCATAGATCATAGACTGTCCATCAGTAAAAAAACGGCAAACGGAGGCTTGAAGCCTAGTGTCTATCCATATAAACTTTATAGACTCCTGCCTATGAAATGCAAGAGGGCTCCTTATAAGAGCTACCGAAATTCTTCCTATGAAAATGCTCGAGAAAGCAGTCAGATGAGTGAGTCTGCACCTGGTCCCTATGTTATTCAGAATCCACACAGCTCTGAATTACCTTCACTGAATTTCCAAGATGGTGTGAACACCTTGACCAAGAGTCCAGCCATCCCATTGGAAACACCTGCATGTCAGGACATACCCACTTCTGCCAGTGTGCAAAATGCAGAGGGCACCAAATGGGGAGAGGAGACCTTGAAAGTGCATCTTGACAATAACTTTTATTCAACTGAGGTGTCAGTTTCTTCCACTGAAAATGCTGTCAGGTCTGACGTCCCGGCAGGGGAGGTTCCTGCGTTGTCTGTGAGTAATGGCAGCGAGAACTCCGCCTCAGTGATCAGCTACAGTGGCTCGGCACCCTCAGTCATTGTGCACAGTAGCCAGTTTTCCTCGGTGATAATGCACAGCAACGCTGTTGCTGCCATGACCAGCAGCAACCACAGAGCCGCTTCAGACCCAGCCATCAGTCAGTCCCTGAAAGATGACAGCAAACCTGAGCCAGACAAAGTGAGTAGAGTTGCCAGCAGACCCAAAAGCATTAAGGAGAAAAAGAAAACTGTACCATGTAACAGAGGAGAACTACCAGAGGAGTCAAAATACATTGCTGATCCTGGAGGGTCGTTGAGCAAAACCACAAATATCATTAAAGAAACCAGTAAAATTGAAACCTACATTGCAAAGCCTGCTCTCCCTGGAACCTCCACAAATAGCAACGTCGCGCCCCTTTGCCAAATAACAGTGAAAATTGGGAATGAAGCCATTGTGAAAAGGCATATCCTAGGATCTAAATTGTTCTATAAAAGAGGAAGAAGACCCAAGTATCAAATGCAAGAGGAGACTCTGCCACGAGAGAGTGACCCGGAGACCAATAGAGACAGCCCACTTGGGCTTTGCCAATCCGAGTGTGTGGAGATGAGCGAAATGTTCGACGATGCAAGTGACCAGGATTCCACGGACAAACCATGGCGCCCTTACTACAACTACAAACCCAAAAAGAAATCCAGACAGTTGAGAAAAATGAGGAAAGTCACCTGGAGGAAAGAGCATGAAAACAGGAGCCCAAGCAATAAGTGTAAATACCCAGCAGAACTGGACTGTGCTGTGGGGAAGGCTCCTCCGGAGAAGGCCTTCGAGGAAGAAGAAAATAAAGAGATGCCTCAGTTGCAGTGTGAACTCTGCGACGGAGACAAGGCCTCGGGGGCTGGAAACCAAGGACGGCCCCACCGACATCTCACTGCCAGGCCCTATACCTGTGAGCTCTGCGCCAAGCAGTTCCAGAGCCCGTCCACACTCAAGATGCACATGCGGTGTCACACCGGAGAGAAGCCGTACCCATGCAAGACCTGCGGCCGGCGCTTTTCCATGCAAGGAAACTTGCAGAAACACGAACGCATCCACCTGGGCCTGAAGGAGTTCGTCTGTCAGTATTGCAACAAGGCGTTCACGTTGAACGAGACCCTCAAAATCCACGAAAGAATCCACACTGGCGAAAAGCGCTACCACTGTCAGTTCTGCTTTCAGAGTTTTTTGTATCTCTCCACAAAAAGGAATCACGAGCAGAGGCATATTCGGGAGCACAACGGGAAGGGCTATGCCTGCTTCCAGTGCCCCAAAATTTGCAAAACAGCTGCTGCCCTGGGGATGCACCAGAAGAAACACTTATTTAAAAGCCCAAGTCAGCGGGAGAACACGGAAGGTGACGTGTGCCATGAAAACTCAAATCCCCTGGAGAATCCACATTTCATTGATTCAGAAGACAATGGCCAAAAGGATAACGTACAAACCATTGTTGAAAATGTCCTTTGAATGGCGATACTTAGAAAAATCTTCAAAAATCTAAGTTGGTGGGTTTGTGTTTTGAGGAGTTTTTTTAGTTAGCTGTTTTCTTTTTGTTTTTGTTTTTTTTTTTTAGTTTAGTTTTGTTTTGTTCACGTAACAGTCATGAAGGAGTGAAATGTAAAAAAGAAAATCTCATTTGTGAAAATTCCAGAAAAAGGATCCTAATATCTACTTTGGGTTTTAGCATTAACTTCATGCAAAGTGCACAAAAACAAAATAGCTGATCCTCCAGTATCCCAAGTATCTTGTGAAAGTTTATGAAGTTCTTAGCTGTGGTATTTCTGCCAGTGAAAACAAAGAGTTTAATTTTAGCCTAATATAAAACTTTCTAGTAATTGCTAATAGGAACTGGCTGCTGAACTGTCTTTAGTCACTGGAGAAGATAGGGTCAGATATCATGAAAATGTCATCTTCATAAATACGTTAAAAGGTGAATGAGCTATGACAGTCATTATTCCCACACAGCTTCTGCACTATTAAAAATTGTTTAAATTAATGGATACATATGAAATACTTAATAATATAGCTGAAAATATGTGTGAAATGAGTAACCTAAGTAGAACATTCATACATTATCTAGAACTACTTTTCTGCAACACAAACCTTGTAAGATACGTATATAAATCACTATAACTTTTAACTGTCCATGTCCCCTGTAGAGAATTATAATGATGAGCAATAGATCTGCAAATAATGAGGACTGATGTAAAAATCAGTAGAAAGCATTTTGGATATGACTTAAGAGCATGTGTATGCTTTTAGATGGAATGCTGTTCTCTTGAAGTATGGCTGAGCTATTATTAGAATTGGTCTACTCGAGTCACTGAAAACATGGGTCATGCCTTATCTATGGGGAAGAGCCTTCCCAGAATTTACCTGTGATTACCTGTGCTGTATATTACTTTGCTGTGGCCTCACCTCAGAAAATGAAGAAGCGTCAAATTCTTCTGAAACTCCCTGCAGTCTTCCATCCATCACAAGGCCGTGGATGTGGAGGTCTAGTCCAGATAGACTTAACCAGCCTCAAGGGGTCAAGTAAAACCTGACACCTCCCATTCCACTGAAGGAGTGTCCAGGAAGGTTAGCACAAGGCACACATACGGTGATGAATTTCCAAGCACTTGAAAGTGACAGAAAGCCTAATCCCTACAATTATTAGCCTTCTTGGAGACTATGCAGCCCACAAGTATATACTAGTATAAAACGAAAGGACAACAGAAACACCCCCCTCTATCCCACCCATTAATGATTTGATTGGGCAAGAGGAAGTGATGACCTTCCTTGCCTCAAACAGTAGCTTTGTTTTTGAGGGATGGGGAGAGAGAATGTGGAATGACAAGGTTCCATCACTTACTGACATGACTTAGAAATATATCCACAAAACCAGATGCCTTGCCTTCATGTTTGCAGACATCTAACCCCCTTGCCTAAAAATCCACTTAAGTTTTCTAATGTTCTTTTCCACTGACCCACACCATCAACATTGCCCTCAAAGTCTAATTGCCCTCTAGGCTATTTATTCCATCATGTGGACTAGGTTCCTGGGAAGCTGGAACTCGTGATTCTTACTTTTTAAACTGCCAGAATAGGAGGGAGAGAGAAAACATTCCTACCCTTTGATCACCAGTGTGAGCAGAATCCAGAACCCGATTTAAGGGTAACCTGCAGCCATTCATATTCATGGGATTTGATAGATGGAAACCCAAGTTTATCCAAGGTTGCAAGGTTACCATTATGAAGAAGTAGCTCAAAGGACTCCGGTTTCTCTCTCTCCGAGTGTTGTGATGTCTCCATGAAGAAGACTTAATATGGATTTGGGTGGGCAAGAAAGCATTTAAACACCCAGAGAAGGACATGATCAAAGCTGACCTTTTTATAGTATAGTACTTTGCTGTTAAGTAAGCCCAATGTTGTACCTGCATTTATCTTTTGTTCTGCTTTCACTTACATACAGTATTATGTAATAGAGACAAATGGGAAAATGCAAGCGGACTCAAGTCTATTTTATACATTGTATATATGTACACCTGCACTATTCATTTGGGTTTTGTTAAAGAGATAGTCACAAAGGGCTTATGAAAATCATTTTTGAATTGATAATTAGAATATTGAATAAGCAATCCTATGATCTATTAATTTGTTTTATCTCAACTAGGATTATGAATCGAGGAGAATTACTGTGTATTTTAGTCATTTTGATTTGAGGTAACTCCAAATATAAAATTATTACATGTAGTGATGTCTCTCAGCCCTTACATGTGGATATTTTTTAAGTGGACTTGTATGCTGATAATTCTAGACCAAAGTAAATATGGCAGAATATTTATACATGAAAAAATAATTTTGCAAATATTTTCTATAATTGTATTATTCGTTTAAAATGTTGATAGCTTGTGTTAGTTTCAGGGAGGGGTGTATATTTTGATAAAAAATACTTGACTTTGTAATTCTGTATATTCTATACAATTTATAGCAGAGCCGTTTTAAGACAGCCTTGTCACATTTTTTGTTAATTGTGAAAACTTTATTATGAGTGATGTTTAAGTATGCATTGAGTACATACCGACCAACTAGAATTAAAGTAAGTGTAAACAGTGAGCATACTGTATGCTGTACAAGATATATTGTAATTTGCTGTTTTAGCATCTGTATTTTGGTTAGAAGATATTATTAAATGCAGATGTTAAGGGTTGGAAAAGTCTAATTTTATTTTTAGAAATAATGAATATAAATTTGTTTTTGCTTGATTAAAATAGCTTATTCCTATGTTAAGTCTCTTTTTAAATGTTTTAATGTTAATTCTTTTGTGCAGCCAAGCAGCTATTTCATCTGTGTGAGTCAGAGCATTGTTTCACATATTATTCATTCAATATATTTCTGTTTCCTTACTTGTTTACATTCCATAGTACCTACTTACATGCTTGGGACTCAAATGGAATATGACATTAAAAAAAAAAAAAAGCGGAATAAGAGAGATTGAAGTCTGCTGGTAATTTAGTGCTTTGGATAGGCCTGATCTTATGAAAATCACTGAGTGTTGGAAACATTCTGCTCTGCTCATCCACAGTGGATAACAAATTACACTATCGAGTGCCAGGTGTTGGGCAACATTCTTTACATCGGCTGTTTCATTCAGTCCTTCCCCAAGAACCCTGGGAAGTAGACCTCATTATCCACATTTTATAGTGACTTTGAGAAGATCCCACAGCCAGACAGAGCCAGGATTCCAACCCAGGGCTGCCTGACTCCAAAGCCCGTGTTTTTGTTCCTTCTCAACACCTCAGAGAAAAATGCTTACTGTAAACTGAACAGAGAATGGAGAAAAGAGACGTGACAAAGTAATGCAGCCTTAGGGTGGTGATTGTTGTATTGACGGCCTCTAGGAGGCCCCGTGAGGTGCAGCTTCCCCGCACTCACTGCTATCTTACTGAGGCCTCAGTACTTGAGGCATTTGGCTTCTCTTATATCTTTGGATATTCTATAAAATCAGTTTTTAAGAGTTTGTATACTTTTTTTAGAATATGGAGTGAAATTATAATTTAATGCTATTATAAGCTAGTAATTTTTCACATTAAAAATATCTGTTCCATCCTCACAGACTGTACTCCTAACCTTTGCTAATTATCTTCAAATGCATGCAGTTAGGCCCAATGGCTAATGTGAAAGGAAGTGCCAGGGGCTCGGGTGGCACAATCCATCACCTACACAGGGAAATAACTCAAATTTCCATCCTAATGGCTGGCCAGTAGTAGTAATTTTTTATCTGAAGGGCAATCCAAACCAGATTCTCCAAAAATTTAATAACTGCTCTCTGCTAAAATCAACTTCATTATCTAGCAAAACATTTAATATGGAAATAATTTGCAACAATTGAGATAGTAACTGGATTAAAAGGATAAAAACAAACCACGCAAAGCAATCCTGTTTAGAAAGCAGTATTCTTTCCATTACTTCAGGTCTTGTCATTCCTGTTGCTCACCTTCCTCTCTTCTCATCACCTGTTGGTTGATTTGGTTCCATTCCCTCTGTCTCCATCAGTTCTTGGCAGAGGCAATGAGTCTTCCGCTTCAATTTCCTCTGAGTCTGACAACTCTTCCCCTTTCCCCTCCCCAAGTCCTGGCATCTATTAATCGCCTTTCTGGAGAGAGCAGCCCCCTTTGGTCCCTCCCTCCATCCCTCCCCAGTGTGCACCCCTTGACCCTGATTGTTCAAGCAAGACGGTCAGTGAGCAGGCAAGTTGGCTTGGTGTACAATTTTTAAAACGAAACACTCCAAATTTAGACAACCAATGGAAGAACTGGTTATAAGGGGAATGTGATTACATTTTTATTATTTCATTCTTGACATCTAAGGCATCAAATCTATTTATTTACAGTGTTTGGCTGAGAAGTCAAGAGCACTTTTAGCAATAATTTTAAAAGTTATGACTTCTATGTAATTTTATTCCTGTTATAAGAAACTTTGGCATACAGAGATTTAAAAGATGTAACAGTGCTAACTTATGTAAAAATGTAATTCATTTATTCAAAATATGCTTAATTTTGAGTGTCAGGCGTTTTGTCAAGGCCAGGGCTACAGAGATGTAAGAAGTAGCCTAAGCCTTCAAGGAACTTAAGTTCCAGGGAAGGAGACTGACGAGGCAATCGATGATTATTAAACGAAACTGAGCTCCAAGGGGCTCAGAACCAAACAGAGAGCACTGAGTTGCTGCTGACGGAGCCTGGGCTTCCCAGCAGGGGCAAGTCCAGGTAGGAGCGACTAAGCAAAGGAGCCTGGGGTGAGTGTGGATTATCCCCGAAGCCTGGAGTTTGGGGTGGTGAGGCAGGAGGGGCACGCAGAGGACACAACACCAGGGCCTCGTGGGCGTTGCCAGAGAGTCTGAAGTTCTAGCCTGACAGCAGAAGGGTGGTAGGGGAGCGGATGAGGCGCTGAGTGCTAGGAGATGAGCTCAGAGAGGTGTACCACAAGGTCCAAGCAAGATGAGAA